TCTGATAAGCTTTTCTAACCTCTAAGTGCTCTGCCCTCATGTACAAGATGCCCTCCTAACCACACACAATTAAAATAAGACATCTTTAAAGAGTGATCATATCACCTAGAAATGACATCATAGACATGATGTGGCTATGATATTCTCATGATATAAGTCTTCTAGTGAGGCATTCCTGGAGATAGTCTCCACCCCAGTCATACAGGACTGCAGTTACCACACCAGTGCTTCCTGAGCTCTAGGTGCTCCGCTGAGGCACCCTGGGCTGAGATGTAGATCTGAGCAGTATCCTCTACCGGGGACCAGCTGCAGGGCTCTGGGTCTCTTGTTTTACATGAACACAGCAATTCCAGAGTTTGCCCAGGACCCTTGGGGCTGCTCCATGTCTCCACTTTCCTTGTTTAGTGGAAGCCCAGGTTCCTTTATATTCAACCAAAGCAATGGCAGAGGCTGACAAAGCTCAAAACAATTCCATCTTGTGCAAAGTCAGATATTCTAACAGTTTGCACAAATACAGACCAATGCCACTGTCTTAGTTAGGGTTTCTATTGCTGTGAAGAGCATGACCACTCTTATAAATGAAACATTTGCCGGGCAGTGGTGGCGCACGCCTTTAATTCCAGTACTCGGGAGGCAGAGGGGTCTCTGTGAGTTTGAGACCATCCTGGTCTACAGAGCGAGTTCCAGGACAGCCTCCAAAGCCACAGAGAAACCCTGTCTCAAAAAAACAAGATAGATAGATAGATAGATAGATAGATAGATAGATAGATAGATAGATAGATAATAACGGAAAACATTTAATTGGGGTGGCCCTCTTACAGTTCAGAGGTTTAGTTCATCATCGTGGTGGGGCATGGTGGTGTGCAGGAGACATGGTCCTAGAGAAGCAGCTGAGAGACCTACATCTTGCAGACAACAGGAAGTGGCCTGTCTCACTGGCTGTGGCTTGGGCATATATGAGACCTTGAAGCCCTCCTCCACGGAGACACACTTCCTCCAATAAGACCACATCTACTCCAACAAGGCCACACCTCCTAATAGTGCCACTCCCTTTGGGGGGCATTTTCTTTCAAACCCCCACAACCACTCTTAGTAAATTGTTTGCTTTTGAGAAATACAAGTATCTTCATAAACATACATAATTTATGTTTTAGGTCAGAATTTATTTACTTTTAAAGTTTGTTTTTTATTTTGCCTGTATGAGTGCACATAAATGTATGTATACAACATGCATGTCTGGTGCCCTTGGAAGTCAGCAAAAGGTGTTGGATCCCCTGGAAATGGAGTTCTTGGTGACTGAGAACTGACATGTGGGGACTGGGAACTGAATCCAGGTCCTCATAAACCATCGTTCCCACCCCAGGGTCATGTTTTATCATTGTAAATTTTAAAGCTCTAAGGGCTAGAGAGATAACTTGGGTAAAGATCCTTGGTGACAAGCCTGAGTCCAATCCCCAGGACACATATGGTAGAAGAGAGAACTGATTCTTGCAAGTTGTCATCTAACCTCACCATGCTCACTCGTGATGGCACATATGTGCCTCTGCTGGAACACACACAATTTTAAAGTTCTAGTTTGATTTCTAATATGGGAAAGATCAATATCTATCATCCACATAATGAAATCCTTCAGGCCTTCAATCATTTTGAAGAGCATACAGTCTTGAGGCCAGAAAGACTGAGAGCTGTGACATCATGTCTTAAGAGCCTGTGTTTGATATCCCCCGGGTTAGTCACTGTCCTAAGTATATTACAGTCTGTCTGTCACCTGCCTTGTCGTGACATCTTAGTCCATGATGGTGAATAAGTGATGGTGTTCAGCATAGTCTCAAACATCCCATGTATGCTTTGTCCGGACCAAATCACTTTCTCTTGTGCTTAATTTAGGATCAAGGGTTCATCAAAACCCTGACATAAAATTTACATGGTTAATGTCACCAGTAAGAAACCTCATCAAACAGCTGACATGGAAATGAAATTTTAAAAAATAATTAAGAGAGAGAGTCAGTGAGATGGCTCAGTTAGTAAAGGTGCTTGCCACCAGGCCTGACCCTGAGTTCAGTCCTGGGAATGGTAGGAGGAGAGAACCAACTTCCACAATTGTCCTCTGGCCTCCACACATGTGCTGTGGCACATACCTAAAATAAATAAATAAATAAATAAATAAATAAATAAATAAATAAAATAATAAATCTAATAAAAATTTTAATGAGTAAGAGATTGGGGATGAACACTATACTTTCAGGGACCATTTCTATAGTTCATTACTAGAGAAGTTTCTCTGACTGTGTAGAGAACCTGAGGCCACAAAGAAGAGATGTAGTTTCCTCCTGAGCATGAAGCTGCCTCTGGGTGCTGCTTTCCTGTAGCTGTCTCCTGCCATTCATTGATGTTCGATCTTCTCTGCCTTTGGGAAAGTGGGAGGGAGGGGACACAGGAAAAGAGAGAGAGAGAGAGAGAGAGAGAGAGAGAGAGAGAGAGATTGGGGATGTGGCTTGTTGGAAAAATGCTTGCCCAACATGCATGAAGTTCCCAGTTCCATTCCCAGCACCACAGATGATAAAACTGATAAGAACTATGTGAGACGGGCTGGAGAATTGGCTTGTGGTGATAGTTTGTTTGTGCTCTAACAAACAAAGCTTGCCTGAAGACCAAAGGGTGGATGGAGTTAGCCACTAGTTAACCATAGAGGATAGGCAGTGTTGGCACACACCTTTAATCCTAGCACTTGGGAGGTGGAGACAGGAAGTGATATGGCTGGTCAGAGAGAGGAATATAAGGCAGGAGGAGACAGAAGCTCAATCCCTTTTCAGTCTGAGGATTTCACAGAGGTAAGGACTTTAGTGACTGGCTCCTTTACTTTCAGCATTTACCCTGATATCTGACTCCAGGTTGTTATTATTAACACCAATTAGAATTCACTCTACATTAGCTCAGCAGTTAAAAGTACTGACTGTTCTTCCAGAGGTCTTGGGTTCAATTCCCAACACACACATACATCGTGACTCACAACTTTTGCAATTCCAGTTCCAGAGGGGTCTGATACCCTCTTCTGACCTCTGTGGCACTCTTTGCATGTGGTCCACAACATACATGTGGTCGTGTATGTTGTGGACTACATGCAGAGGGAAGACACCCAGTATGAAATATAAAATAAAATTTTAAAATAGCGTGTCTTTTATTTACACTTTTTTGTTTTTGTTTTTGTTTTTGTTTTCAAGACAGGGTTTCTCTGTGTAGCTGTGGAGCCTATCCTGGGACTCGCTCTGGAGACCAGGCTGGCCTCGAACTCACAAAGATCCTCCTGCCTCTGCCTCTCGAGTGCTGAGATTAAAGGCGTGTGTCACCAACGCCCAACCTTTATTTATTCTTTTGAAAGTTTCAGACATACGTATAGTGTATCTTGATTAGATCCAACTCCCAATAACCCCCTTTAGTTCTCCCCAGGCAACCCCAATACACCCTCCTCCTATCTTCATATCCTCTCTTTTTTTATTTGTAATTCACTGAATAGAATTAGTGCTGCCTGCTAGACTGTTGACTGGTCTTGTTGGCTTGATGTTTTGTGGGAGACTATAGCTGCTGTGTATGCACGAGCGCAACAGCTGTGTCATGTCTAGAAGACATCATTTCACAGCTCTCCTCCCCAGCCTCCAGCTCTTAAATTCTTTATCTCTTCTTCTATGATGTCCCCTGAGCCTTGGCAGGGATAGAGGTAGCAGAAGTTGACATAGATGTTCCATTTAGTGATGAACACTCAAGAGTCATTTCTTCTCATCATTTTGACCAGTTATGAGTCTCTGCAGTAACTGCTGACCACTGCAGAAAGAAGCTTTTCTGCCCAAGGTTGAGGGCAGCACTAATCTATACATATCAAGTTAGCAAGACTGTAGTAGTAGGTTCCTCCCTAGGGCCTATGACCTCCCATGTCATGGGTTTGACCAGGCATACAGTCCCAGGCATGAATTCTTTCCTGTGTACCAGGTCTAAGTCCAATGCAAATGTAGTTGGCTACCCCCATAGCCTTCATGCCATCATTGCTCTAAGGGGCACTTCTTGCCTGGCAGGTCAGCATTGTAGCATTCAAGGTCCATCTCTGGATAAGACCACTGATGGCTTTTTGCCCTCAGTGGCCTACATAGATCCTTCTGGCACTATGAAAGTTAGGTCACTTCCTTCCAACTCAATTTCTGTATGTCCTGCAACCAAAGTGTGTCAAGTCTTCAGCAATTGGGTCTTCCTTGATACAATGCTGAATTTGCTTTTGCTCTAGCTGGTTTAAACTATTCAGAATTCACTGTGAATTACACAATGTCTGCATGTATACATATAGTGGGCTGCAACAAGGTCGTCTAAGATTTTGACATTATGACACACATTGTTATACTTGAGAACTGTGTGATCCAATTACCAAAAATTAAAAAAAAAGAATCTCATGATATTTCTTTATTTGGAGACAGGCCTCACTATGTAGCCCTGGCTGGACTGTAACTCCTTATGTAGACCGAGCTGGCATCCAACTCCCAGATATCCTCCTGCCTTTGTTTCCCAAACATGCTCCTTATCAGAATATTTTAAGTTTCCAGTCATGTGGGATGGCTTTTTCCTCACACCTGGGGTAGTCAGCCTCTGTGCCACCAGCTGGGACCAGCCAGAAACAAATCTGCCTACTCTCAACCCACACCCTGCTCCCAACTCCATCACTGGGCTGTCTTCAGGTTGCCAGTGGGGCAGCAGCTTCCTGGTCCTTCCACTTGCAAATTGGGGACAGTAGAACTTGTGGAAGATAAATTGAACAGGAACTGACTGCTCAATTTGAATTTAACTTTTGCTGGGCAAGGATTTTGAGCTTTCCCCAAATTCTCAAAGGAGTATTGAATCAGGTTAAGAGTAATGTCTTGGGGCTCACAGGAGCTTCTGGAGCCTCTGGGCTGGCTAAGGATGCTACAATCAACAATCACCCACCTATGGGGCATGTGTGAGGCAAGGCTACTCTGAGGGGTAGAGTGCCAGTGTCCTGTTCCTACACAGTTGATTTCTAGCTTCTTTACTGCTCCACCCAGGCCTGGTCCTTTTGACCTCCTGGGCTGTCCACAGGCCTGGTGCTGTTAACCTTAAGAACAGAGCCAGGAGAAGCAAGTGACTCAGGGCACACTGCAGCTATCAAGGAGAAACAGCAGCTCAGGAACAGGTTCTTCCAGGGGCTAGCACTGTGCCACCCTGCCCCTGGGTTCCCCAGGCCAGGTCCAGTTCCTTGCCAATGACACCAGCAGCACCAACCTCTGTCATTAATGGGTCCCTCATCCTCTGGCCCTCCTCATGGCACAATGCAGACAGTGGTCTTGACAATGAAGGACAGCTGAGGTTATACACTGCTCCAAAACCTTGCATGCTTGACATGCCAGCCAGCAGGCTCCACTTCTGGTATGGGCTTGGGTTGTCTTTTCTACAGCCTTCTTCACTGGAAGAGACTTGGCACCTCAGGAAGGCCATGTTCAGTCTTCTGCGACCTAGACCCAGCCATTGCCTGTCACAGTTCCCATCACATCCAGGGTGCTTCCTCTTGCACGTGGAAAATCCCAGATTCACAATTATCATAGGCACCTCCTGCTGCCGAATACGAGTTTAAGATGTGGCACATTCCTTTATGCTGTGGGGTATTTGTTTAATGATATAAAGAATGTGCTGCATTCTTTTATGTTGCATTTGTTTTACTCTGTAAAGCTGTGTTTACTTTGCCTGTCTAAAACACCTGATTGGTCTAATAAAGAGCTGAATGGCCAATGGCTAGGCAAGAAAGAGAAATAGGCAGGGTTGCCAGGCAGAGAGAATAAATAGGAAGAGAAATGCCAGGAACCAGCCACCAGCCACACAGCCAGCCACAGAGTAAGAAGGAAAGAAAGAGTATAGAATAAAGAGAGGTTTAAAAAAAACCCAGAGGCAAAACTTAGTTAAAGAGAAATGGGATAATTTAAGCTAGAAAAACTGGTTAGAAACAAGTCAAGCTAAGGCCGGCATTTATAAGCAAGAACAAGTCTGTATTTATTTGGGTGCTGAGTGGTGGGCCCCAAAAGAGTTATTAAAAACAACAACAACAACTACAACCTCCTCCTCCAGGAAGCCCTCCCTGAGCCCCTGCAATGTCACCAGGGCCTCCTTAGTACTCCCTCCAGCTAGAATTGGGGAGATCTGGGGTCAGAAGAACCCTTAAAAGTTGATCAAGAGCTGCACATCTCCAAGAGTGATCCAGCATCCTGTGGGCACTAACAAGACATCTTTTCTCAGACCCCATGTGGCAGAGGGAAATAATTGAAAAGAGGGCCCTAGAGGTTGAGAAGCACCAAGCTAGTCCAGGCCTGTGAAGCCCAGCTAGAGCTCTGAGTTTGCAAGTCCCCATTAAATCGCCTGCCAGTGTAGGCTCATCTCTTTGCTGTGCTAGGGTCTGGCCACCCCACCGCCTTCAGGGGCCTTCTGCTAATGGGGATGAGGCAGGAAAACGAATTGCCTTCACCCCAGGTTCTTCTCCTGCTTCCTGAAGGCGCACAGCCAATTTCAAACTGTTGTTTTCTTTTATTGGCAAAGAAGACGCTTGGGCACCTGTCTCATTTATTTCTCATCAGCTTCTCTTGGTTCCAACTCTGTCAAGCAGGAACCTGCTGGGTTGGAGAATCAAACTACTCCTTATCGGCAGGTTGTAAATTTTATGGGTCTCTTGCAAAGCACACAAAACTCAAGCTGGAAAAATACAGCTTCTCCCTTCTCTTGCTCTCATTCGTCCGTCCGTCGCTCAAAACGTGGTAAGCACCTCCACAGACCAGATGTTCTCTGTAGCATCTTCACCTCTGGTGGGGAGAGTACACTTTCCCTCCACCGATGGACTCCACTAGCCTGTCTCACTCAGAAGTTCTTCTTGATGTCTCGTCTGTTTCTTGCTGCCACTGGCTTCAAACTAGCCTGTGACACCGGCATTTGTCATCCTCACTTTATGACTCTGGAAACTAGCACAGGCTAAGCACACAGTAGGCACTTAATATATAGGGGTTTAGAAACTGGGCATGGGGGGGCTGCTTGTAATCAAAGCACTCAGAGGATGAGGGAGGAAGGACATGAGTTTGAGGTCAGACTGGCCGGGTCGCCTCCAGAGGGTACACGGTTATCTGTCTGTTGTAGCCGCTCTTCTCACAACTCTTCCAAACCTCTGGAGTGCTCTAGAATAGGCCACGCAACAGACTCAGGTGAGATCCTCCAGAACTTACCACATATGAGCAACAGACTCAGGCAAGATCCTTCAACTTCTGACCGCTCACAGGAGAGTGACCTGCACGCCTGACTCTGCATTGTCTCTCACACATGCTGCCTTTTTTTTTGCATATATTGTCCCAACACTTTTTTATCAAATTATTTACTGTGGGGGCGGGGCGTGTGGACAGGCAGGGGGT